CATTGCCACTTTTGGGAGAGCTTCCGACGGGCTATGGGGACTCAGTTTACGATGAGTATAGCATTTCATCCCTAGACAGATGGTCAGTCGAAGAGGACCATCCAGATATTAGAGGACATGCTGCGGGCATGTGTCCTAGATCTCAAGGGTAGCTGGAAAGAACATTTACCCGTAGTGGAGTTTGCCTACAACAACAATTATCAGACAAGCACATAGATGACACCCTATGAGGCACTTTATGGGAGGACTTGTTGTTCTCCAGTCTGTTGGACAGATGTGGGAGAGAGACCCTCTATGGGTCCGAATTTGATTACAGACACCTTGAAGATGGTGGATTTGATACGAAAGTGTCTTCTTACGGCTAAGAGTCGATAGAAGAGCTATGCCGATAGACAGTGGTGACCTCTAGAGTTTGAGGTAGGAGATCACGTCTTTTTGAAGGTGATGCCTAAGAGAGGAGTGGTTAGGTTCGACAAATGAGGGAAGCTGTCGCCGAGGTTTATCGGGCCCTTTAAGGTACTCGAGAGTGTGGGTACAATGGCTTACTAATTGGTGTTACCACCAAATCTATCGGGTGTTCACGCGGTGTTCCATGTCTCTATGCTCCAGAAGTATTCTCTAGATCCGACACATGTAGTGGATTGGGGTGAGATGATTGTTGATGCAGATGGGACCTTCGAGGAGGGACAGGTGTGTATCATGGATTGCCGGGATCAGGTTTTGCGAGACAAGACCGTGAGGCTAGTGAAGGTGCTATGGCAGCACCGAGGCATGAAGGGAGGTGACATGGGAGCGTGACGACACTATACGTACCAACTATCCGTTCTTGTTCGAGGATGGAGGTACAAGTTTTATGATTTTTATGTATAAAGTCATTGTTGCATATGCATGCGGTTTAATGTTTATGTGTGTCTGAATTTCGAGGATGAAATTCTTTTAAGGGGGAAAGAATGTAAAACCCGATAAATTTAAAATTTTGTAAATAAGGGCAAAAAGGTAATTTTGTCGCTACTGTACGGGTTGAAAATTTGATTTTTTCTAGATCTCGGATGACGAAATGAACCTCACCATTGGATTTGTCTCGCGAAATCTAGTTACCGCGTCAAATTTCATCGCATTATGAGATAGTTGGCTTTTTTGCGTTTGACGAGGCAGTCGAGTCTCGGGTGACCCAAAAGTGGGATTTTTGATAAAATTTCAAGAGTTGCAAAATAATTTAAGACAAGTACAAATAAAAATATTTTGAACTTGAACCAAGTTGAAATTAAATCGTTTTAGGACGAAAACGGACCCGGGAAAAAGAGGTTTTGTGGCACAATGTGAGGCAAGTAAATGGAGGGTATAAAAAGGGGGGGGAAATCTGATATCTTCCACATTTTCTCCAGCCGGTTAACGTGAGAGGGGAAGAGAGGGAAAAAGAAAGAGCTCTCCACTTCTCTCTACGATCTACGACTCCACGGGCTTCAAATTCACTCGGGCCAAGAGGAAAAGTTGATCTCCTCGTCAAGGGCTACGCCTACGCACCAAAAACAAGGATTTTCACTGAAAACTGAAAAATGGGATTTTTGGGAGAAGAAGATTTGAGCTAGGAACAGGTTATTGGGGACTTCCTACGGTCATTCTTCAAGCTTTAAGAGGTAAGGTTCCTTTCTACTCGGGTTTATTTACAACCTAGGGGGTACTATGTAATGGGTATGTTGATAAATAAATTTTATCATTACCTATGTTGTGAAAATTGATGAAATGGGTATTGAAATTGGGTAAAATAAAATTTTACCTTGAAATGGGTTGTGAATTAGACTCAATGTTATCCATGGAATTGGGGGTTATGTGGGCATGTTATGTGTTTATTGTAAGCCTTGAGAATTAAGTATGTGGTCAGCATATGTCATGTAATAACATGCTTGTGAATTGTTGTTGAAGATGAAATGTGGATATATGTTCATTGATATATAGTATTATGAGAAAGTTTGGTAATTATATGCTTCGGATATAAATTGCCTTAGAATTTGTTTTAATGTAGTTAATTTTGCTCAAGTGACATTCATTACATGTGGGCATGATGTTGAAATAGCAATGATGCATTACATTACATATGCACGTAGACATCGCATTTTATGGGTGTGGGTGCTTGGTTGGCATCAAACACCATGTAGGTGGATGATGGGTGGGCTCGAGAAAGTTGGATTGAATATCCGGCTGAGTCACACGGTTGCATGAAAAAGACTTGGGTCTGGGTAGCAAGGAGGGCTAGACTATCCCTCGGGTGAGAGACTTGGTGGTTGGATATGCACTTCGTTGGTATAAGAGCCCATAAAGTGTGTCGGTATACGCAAAACCGTTGGTGAAAGTTCATGAATTCCATTTCGGTTGGGTGACAATTGGTGTAAGTCCATAAATACCCACCCCAAGAAAGACCCGGAGATTTTGAGTAGTCATTGTGTGTGTAACACAAATGGCGGGGGCTTGGAAAGCCCAGTGTTGATATTCACTGGATAGCATAGGGTGAAGGTAAATGGCTGGAGCTAGAAAAGCTTGGTTTTATACACATTTGGCATTGAATGTGTGTGGAGTCGGGAAAGGCTTGCGTAAATTTCATGAATGAGTATCATCTCATTTCATAGTATGACATAGAGTTGCATATTCTTCTTTGGGAATGTTGAAGAGTGTGAAATGTTAAATGTGAACATTGCATATGCACTTAGGTTGGGGAGTAGCCCTTGTAGGAAATACTCTACTAGGCGTTGGCTCACCCTATACGGAAAACATTTCGGGTGCGGGACATACTCTGGCGGACGGCTTTCATTCGGAGCCTCTTGGGTGAAAAAAATCCGGGTTGTGGCTTTTGAATACATGTTTGGTGTAAACTTTTGTTAAAATTCCATTTTAACATGTAATCGTGTAAATGGCATGTACTAGAACTCGTATGCATTGTGTATATTGTAGAAAATTTCATTATACATGCTTGGGATGGATTTGGGAAGGTTTGGGATGAATTTGGAAATGAAAAACTGATGAAACATGAAATTCTGGACAAAACCTACCGGTAGCAGGCAAAACCTGCTAGAAGCTAACAGGTAGTACCTGTTCAGCAGGCAAAACCTACCGGTAGCTAACAGGTAGTACCTGTTTAGCAAGCAAAATCTACTGGTAGCTAATAGGTAGTACTCGTCTAGTACGCAAAACCTACTGGTAGCTAACAGGTAGAACCTCTACCGGTAGGTCTAGCAAACACCTACCGGTAGCTCTTCCAAAAATCTGAAAATTTAGTATTGTTTTGCCAACATTTTGAGCTTTGTTTTCTTTAGTTTCAATGATACAAATGGACATTAAATGAGGTATATTGAGGCACATTGGACCTCCGTTGAATTAAATGATTAAAGGAACACAGGTTATACGTGTGGGTTATGATCCCGATTAAGGGGATATGATTGACATGATGTCGGGTCATGAGAAAGAGCACAGGTACTTTCGCGGGTTGACGGGTGGTCAACGTTTGAAAAAGGACCCCCGATTTTAGGGGCGTCACAGTTCACCCACTTGAAACACAAACCATCTCAATCAATCCTAGTAGGGTCATAACACTCACAAACAACTTTAGGAAGGACGTCTATCGACTCATTCAACATTGATGAATATTTTCTAAGAATATTATACTAGCCCTCAGTCTCAAACTTACGTGAATAATAGTGATTGACTCTCGCAAGAAACTGAATCCCCTATGAGTATAATCCACCTCAATACACCCACCATAAGAGATAATACACCACTTTTTCCACAAAACCACATACACCAAAATCCATAATTCCACAATTCTCAAGTAAAAGAATAATCGGAGTAAAACATGCAAGATATAGTAAAAATAAACCTTCATGTTCACAATATTCAATATCTAGGTTTTTTAGAAAAAAAAACATGAATTTTGGATGTAAAACATTTAATTGGATACAAATCATGCGTTTATGCAAGAATTTAAGCATATATTAAAAAGAAATATGAAACGTTGAAAATCTAACACATAGATAGGATTGTAAATCAAGAACTATGTTTTTTCAATCAAGGACAAATACAGTCGGACCAATCCCACTGCCACCACTCTGGTTGTAGGTGGTGAAGCAGTGGTTGAAGTAAAAAATCCAAATTCATGGAGTGAATTGGTAGGGTGGAACTCTAAAGGTTTGAATGCAATATTCAATGTCGTCAAACCAAACGAGTTCCAAAAGATTGCAAATTGTGAAACTTCCAAAGAAGCTTGGGACATCTTGGTGAAGATATCTAGACTTCAATGGTACACCTCTTATCTTGAGACTTAGAGGATGCAAGAAAGTGAAACATTTAGTGTATTTTATGCTAAATTGTGCGATATTGTTAATTTATCTTTTGCGTTCGGTCCCAAGATTGACGACGCAACCATTAAATGCGTCAGTCTAGAGTCGGTGTTAGTGGAAGGCCTAGTTGGGTCGATATTGAATTCTGAGATTAACCTCCTACCACCTAAGAAAATGAAGGATGTGACATTGTGCTCAATGAAAGAAGAAGAAATTAAATCAAAGTCACCTCGATTAGGCAAAGAAGAACTAGCTTTCATTATGAGGAAGTTTTTGTAAAGAAATTTTGAATACCAAAAACCTATTTAAAAAATACTTAAAGGCTAGTTAGTGGTGTTAAGTCCTCAAGGTCAAAACAAAATCTAAGTAGACCTAAAACTCTTAAGGAGGGAAAGGAGAAATAGGGAAGAAACTCTGAACAAGAGATTGCGAAAAAGGGGAAAGGCTTCCAATACTTTGAGTGTCAAGGATATGGACACACAGATGCAAAATACCTGAATAGAACAAAGAAATTAGGAGTGCTAACATGGCCAAGAGGAGTGAAAGTAAAAATGAGTCAACATTGAGTAATGAACCTCTTCTCAGAAAGATGAAGAGAATTTCACAACCTTTGCAGGTTCACATTTCTCCCCTAAAGAAATTTTGAGTAGTGAAGTTGAAACATGTCCTACCATGGTGGTTAAAGAATTGGAAGAGGAAGTCCCCACATATGAGGAGGATGTTGAGAGTTTTGAGGATATACAAGAAGCGTATGATCAAGTGTATGAGAAATTCCTCAAAAAACAAAAGAGAGTGGTTGTCTTGAGTGGTGGAGTAAACACTAGTGAAGAAGACTACAAAGCACTACATGTGGACTTAATGAAGTCCAAGGCCCATGTTCGTGGGCTTGAGGAAGAGAAGATGTCTCTTCTAGATATAGTAAGATTTCTTGAGAGAAAGTGTCATTGGCTTCTTGAGAAAAAGAAGAATCTATAACTTAAGCTGATAAAACTTGTTAGAGACCTCCACAAATCATAAAAACTATCTAAAAGACTTTCCCTAAGCAAAGAAATATTGGCTAAAATATTGCCTACAGGGAAGATTGTGGGTGACAGATCAGGCCAAGGCTACACAAATTAGAACACCACCTCCATTCCATCCAAAATCGTGTTTCTAAAGGGTAATCTCAACCCATCACCCCATGTGTAAACACAAGTCCACATAAGAGTAAAAATGGTAAGGGTATGTATTCAAAGAAGCCGGTTAAAAAGGAAACCCAAACCAAAAATTGTGTGTTTCACATGTGGAGAGCATGATCACCATAACATGCATCACATGTATAGTAAGAACATCTTGGATAAAAAAAGGCTAATCAATTCAAAGCCTTGAATAATCAAGTCATGCATCTTACAAAGCATATGGAGAGGTCAAGTGAGTCTAAGCATACACATACATCATCTGGTAAGGGCTCATAGGCTATAGTGCACAAGGTTCCTTCTACTCCCAAGATCAAAGTTGATCTACATACTTTTGAAGAGAAGAGAGTTAGTCATCCATACATTCTCCAACAAAACCTGAATTTTTGGAAGGAAAAACAAGTTTGGGTGACTATGGAGAACTTGAAGAGGCTTACCATCATAATTAAGTTGGATGCCTCGAGTGCTTCCGACAACGTTGACTCATCTAAAAATTAGGTGACCCATCACGCAACGTTGACTCATCTAAAACATGTCCTCGGGAGTGCCCAAAAATAGAAAATAATCAGGACACTCACTAACTAGTCATGTATTCGCTTAAACGATGCATTAGGATTTCATATAGATCTTTATTAATTATTTGACTTAGACATCATCCTAATTGTGCTTGAGGTTGGTTTCACACATGTTGAATAGGAATTTATCGAAGTTGAAATATTTGAATGTGTGGGAGTGAAATGTAACTAAGCGAGAGGCATACCTCTAGGATGCATGAAAAATGAGTTCTGTATTCTTTAATATGCCTTAGATTAGAGTTCTAGATTATGAAATTTGGATAGATATGCTTTAATGGTAATATATCTGATTTTCATGATTAATGCTTTTGTGAATTTAATCATCTAGAACTCAGTTGCATTTCCTCCTCTATTTTAGTTGTAATAAGCTTCAAATCACTTATAATCTTTACTTCTTGCACTTTAATCTCCTTTATTTCAAGTGTATTTAAGTCTAGCTACATGTTCTTGTATTTTCCATGTTTACCTTTGGGTTTTTACTTTCCAAGCTTTCTATTTGGGTATGAAATGAACTTGTCTTTGTAGTTTAACTTCTTTTTGCATTAATACAAGTTATAATCTTTATTCCATCACCATGTCTCTTTACATTATGTATGCGTTTGTTTTGAATATGGGTCGCTAAGCTTTTAGTTGGCTAATGCAAAGGAGACTTCCTCCTGGGTATGCTAAATTAACTCCCCTCCATTCTTCCTTATAGTGTAAAGTGTTTGATTTGACTAGGTTGAGTACGAACGTGGTTGTGAGCTCTTGATACACCGTAAACTTGTCATGGGGTATGCTTAAGCCTACACCTCCACATTAGTCTCTCATTTCCTATGAATCAATCAAACACCGAAACACCATTGGTAGAATGAATTGAGTTGACTTGACATTCCCATTGGAATGACCTCTTTGGATTAGCCAACATTGTTTTCTTGCATTTTTATCAAAATCTCCACTCACCAAAACACAAACTCACAAGATTTTACACTTATCATTTCTTACAAAATCACCTTCACCATAATTCGACATTCCTTCCCTAAGGAGACAACCTTGGAATACTCAATTCCAAATAAAACATGACATTGAAAGTCTCTCTATGCTTGGGGAGCACTTTTGCACACACACACAAACATTTTCATTCGCACACACGATTTTCCCCATTTCTAGCATTGAACCCAAGGGAAAGTGACACTCACCTACTCATATAAGCCATATACATAATTGGAAACATGTTTAGATATTACGTTGACCCACAAATCAAGCATTTTTAGTGCCATTGCCTGGGAAGCTAAGAGTCAAATTAGAAGGTGATTTCAGACAACAAAGGTAAGTCCTGTGATTGTTATCACGTGCCGAGGTACATTGCTCCTTTGTATTTAATTGCATATAATTTCCATTTCAATTGTAGATAGTGTTTTTGTATGTTGGGATGGGATGACCAAAATAGACTTGTGAGACGTGCCATAGGACCAAACATGAATCTAGACCAAGACCCACCCGAGGATGCTAGAGACAACTTTTGGTATGATGGTGCTAGTTGCAAGAGGTGGGGGAATGAAAAACCCTAGACTGCCAAACCCCCGAATGCAATTCCCCCTCCAAGGAATGAGGTAAGCAATATCCCAATTGATCCTCCGGCAAGGTCAATGAGGGATTATCTCCAACCAACCTGAAGCACCACCACCTTGTGCATACTTCTACGAGTCCAAGCTCATGCCTTCCTTGTTAAATCAGGAATATTACAACTACTTCCTCATTTCCATGAAATTGAAAGAGAAAATCCTTATTTGCACATTAAGGTATTTGAGAAAATTGTTGCAACATTTCTCACAAATCATGCCATGGAAGATATAGCTTGCATAAAATTATTTCCTTTCTCCCTTAGACAAAGTGAAAAATTGGTTGAACTCATTGAAACCTTGGTCGATAAGTTCTTGGGAGCAAATATTTTCTGAATTTTTAAACAAATTTTTTCTAGTGCCAAAGACCATTGCTACTAAGAATCAAATTCAAAATTTTTCAAAAAAAGTCCAATGAGCAGTTTTATCAATATTGGGATCAATACAAGAAGTTGTTGCAGTCCATTCCACACCATGGAGTTAAACCATGACAATTGGTTAGTTTCTTCTATGAAGGAGTTACATTGGCCCATCGACAATTCATAGACATGATGTGTAACAGAGAGTTTCTAAACAAAGATCCCGATGAGGCCCCTTGATTACTTCAATACATTGGCACAAAATGTTCAATTATGGGATATCACGGATCCCAATGATGCGCCAAGGTCCTCTCCACGGAGTCAACCAAGTGGGGGAAGGATGTATAATTTATGGGACCAAGAAGATTTTCTTTCCAAAATCACAAAGGTGTCCCAAAAGGTGGAGAATCTAGAGTTGAATAGGAGGCATAAGGTGTCTAATATTGCTAAGGCCAAGTAGTGTTGCTCTATATGTGAAAGTGTTGAGCATTCTATCTCAAAGTGCCTAAACATTTCAGCACTCAAAGAGGTTTATCAAGAGCAAGTGAATTCTTTCAACCAAAGTAGGCAATCATTCCCTCCACAACCCAATACAAATAATCCAGATTGGAGCAATCATATGAAATTTAGTTGAAAGAATGACAACCCTACTCCTCATGGGTCTAGCTTATTGTTGCCTCCCATTCCACCCAAGCAAAGCCAATCCTAATGTGGTCACTGTCCCTCGTCCACTCCCAATACCCACGGTCCAATCAACAAGATTTTTCCCAAAACTCACAACCTCAACAAGGGTTTGGTCAACAAGGACCTTCCAACCCACCCACCTACCAACCTCCTCACAAAAGGAATTTGGAGGATGTAGTGCACCAATTCTTTCAAAGCCAAACAACAATCAAAAACCAAACTGCCACCACTTTTAATGATATTCAAACTCAAATCACTAAATTGACTAATGCCATAGGTTCAACCCAACAACAGAAAGGGAAATTTCGCACTCAACCCTAAGAAAACCCAAGGGGTCAACACGTGATTGAGTCGTCCAAATCAACCAAGGAGAGTTGTGAGAAACTCAAGGAGGCCACAACCCTTAGGAATGACAAACAAATTTACAAAACTATTTTGCCAAAAGTATCACCCAAAGCCACATTAGAAAAAGAAAAAGAGACTACGGGGCAACTCTAAAAGGGGTGAAACACATGAAAAGGAAAAAGTTATTGATTTGAATGTGCATGATTGTCCTATTCCAACCCCTTTTCCTGAATGTTTAAAGCCACCGACGCTAACTATTCGGATATAACTGAATTTTTTAAGCAATTGAAGATAAATATTCTGCTCCTTGATGCCATCAAGCAAATACCTTCATGTGCAAAGATCTTGAAAGACTTGTGCATCGTGAAAAAGAAGATGAATGTGCATAAAAAGGCATTTCTCATAGAGTAAATGAGTTCCATTTTGAGAACCAACACACCACCCAAGTTCGAAGACCCCAACTGCCCTACCATTGCCATAACCATAAGGAATTTTCGGGTGGAGCAAGCACTTTTAGACTTCGGAGCAAGTGTCAACCTCCTACCGTTTTTGGTGTACCAACAATTATAATTTGAAGAGTTGAAGCCAACTCCAATCACTCTTCAATTGGTGGATCAAAGTGTTAGAACACCAAGGGGAGTAGTTGAGGATGTTTTAGTTAAAGTAGAAATTTTTTATTTTTTTGTTTTATTGTACTTGATACTCATTCAGTTGCTAATTCTAGTTCTCAATTTTTGTCATACTAGGTCAAACTTTCCTTGCTACATCTAATGTTGTAATCAATTGTAGGAATGGATTAATGAACCTTGCCTTTGGGAACATGACAAGGGATCTCAATGTATTAAACTTGTGCATGCAACCGGGGTGATGATGAGGAAGTGCATAAGGTCAATAGGATTGACACCTTGATGGGAGATCATATGGAACTACTTTGTGATTCAAAGTTGGGGGAACAAGAGTTTGTTGATGATAAGGAGCCAAAAACTATACAAAGAGTAGGAAATTGGGTCCCAACATTTGAAAAACTTCCACAACAAGAGAAGAAAATTTTCCTATCAACCTTACAAACACCGATCTTGGAGTTGAAGCCACTACCTTCCACACATAAGTATGCATATCTCGGAGAGCACAAAACATTCCCGGTGGTGATAAGTTCGCCATTAGAGCCGAGGCAAGAAGAAGAATTATTGGAAGTGTTGAGGAGGCATAAGGGAGAAATTGGTTGGACAATTGCCGATATCAAGGGAATTATCCCCCTCATTTGCACACACTGAATCTACTTGGAGGATGACGCCAAACCGTCCCAACAACCACAAAGGAGGCTAAATCCTATCATGAAGGATGTGGTGAGGGATGACGTGCTCAAAATACTTGATGTGGACATTATCTTTGCAATTGTCGATAGTAAATGGGTTAGTCCCACTCAAGTAGTGTCAAAGAAGTCGGGGGTCACTGTGGTAGAAAATGAAGACAATGAGTTAATTCCGATAAGGGTGGTCACTGGTTGGAGAGTTTGTATCGACTATCAAAAACTCAACTTGGCACAAGAAAATATCATTTCCCCTTGCCCTTCCTTGGCTACTCTGGCTATAACCAAATTGAGATTGCTTTGGAGGACAAAGAGAAGACAACTTTCACGTGCCCCTTTGGTACTTTTGCCTATCGCCGAATGCATTTGGGTTATGTAATGCCCCGGAAACTTTTCAAAGATTCATGATGATAATCTTCAGTCATATGGTGAAGAAAATTGTGGAGGTGTTTATAGATGATTTTTTCATGTTTGGGGACTCATTCGAGGGGTGTTTGGAAAATTTGGAGAGAGTGCTAGAAAGATGTGAGGAAAAGAGCTTGGTGCTCAATTGGGAGAAGTGCCACTTCTTGGTGAACCAAGGGATCATGCTCGGGCACATCGTATCAGCAAAGGGATTAAAGTA